ATTTGTTATGGGGTGTCCTCCTTTTGTATATCGCAAATGTTATCTTTTAAAAGTATTTCTCATATTATCTAAAATATTTATTTAATCCCCATATTTACCCCATGATTTTCTTGAAGTGTAATTATTCATCATTTTTACCATTTGAATTTCGAGAAAAGTTGAATATGTTCATTTTATTTTTGTAATAATTAAATCATGATGATGTGTTTCTCTATGTGTGTGTGTGTGTGTTTTTGTTTAATCTTTTAGTACGTACAATATTTTGTTTGGTAAACTTATTGTATTATAAATATATTTGAAGTATGTTTAAATTTTGCGATGATGAACATGAGAAATGTTAGTTATTTCAATTTTCTTATTAATTTGAGATACCCTCTATATACATATATTATATATATATGTACATGTAAAAAGAAACTCTCGGCATGTAACAGCTGTCGTTACTTTTTACTTGCTCGATTAAACGGGGCTTTCACGAGTTGCACTCTAAAAAAGGCAATTAGATCGTCTCGCCTAACGAATCGTAATTTTTTTTTTTTAAAATAAAAGAAAATCATAGATTGATAATATTTATGAATGTATATTGATTGATAATTTAAGAATAAAAAAGGTTTAGAACGATAAGTAAGACAATTTTCAGTTCAATCAATATTAAAATAATAATAATAATAATAATAATAATAATTGATTAAAGGAAGATATGTGTGTAAAATGAAGTATTAATAATTATTTATCTGATTTATTCAAAGTATCAAATTTATATATAACGAATTAATGATAATATTGATGATCGATTTAGAAAATATGAAATGTTTAACAATAAAAAAGTTGATTTGCAAGAATTTGAAGTTTGAAATGATTTAATAATGAAATAATTCATTCATTTCACACACACACATACACACATATATATTTCGTGAGTGGTTAAACATGCTGTAAAATAAAAAAGAAACGATAAAAATAAATACAATGATAAAATATATTATAGAAACGAATGAAGTAAGATTGGATGAATAAAAATGATGATGACGGGGATGAAAGTAAAACCTTTTTCAATAATTTGAATTTGTTTTTTTTTTGCCATTGCGACTTTCGTTTTGTGGTCCTCAGTTATACGACCACGTTGTGAAACGTAACTATGAATTATCAAGACAACCCCTAACTTCTTCTACTTCTATTTCTACTTCTAGTTCTACTAAGAAACACATACTTAAAGATAGATATATATATATTGAGAAAGAGAAGAAAACGATTATTATTATTATTATTATTATTATTGTGATTTTACAAGAAAGCTTGAAGCTTGCAGAACACGAGCTTTCGACTACTCAACACGACGATGACAAAGTTTGGCCAGTTTTAGGTTTATTTGTTACTACCTTTTGTGTGTTAGTAAGAACGTTATATATATATATATATATCTTTGCTAAACTAACCACGTTACTATAATATTAATTTCAAACTATGCAGTGTATAAGTTTATACGTCATTGGTCGAATTGTTTCATATTAAATATCAATATATAAGTTTAATTATATTTTAAGAACAATTTTTAA